AATTGTTGTACAGATTTCATGTATTGGCTGAACAGATTTATTAGTTAATTCAGAGATTCGTTTTTCCAATTTGTTATTGCTAATTTTGAAATTAGAAAAATTGCTCAAATGCTCAATGTTAGAAAAATTTCGAAGTAGCAATTATTATTTTTAAATTGTAAATCTACTTAAATTTTTTTTGTACACTAAACTAGTAAACTGTCAAAATAGCTCAATTTTTAAAAACAAAAGTTTTTTTTTTCAAACAAAACGGGTTGCCAGGTCAATTCGGGTTGACCTGAAACCTGATCGGATTGGGTTCGGGTTAAGAAAAATGACCCGAAATTCAAGTCTTGGATCCAGGTCGGGTCAAAACAAAGCAGATCAAAGTCGGGTTCGATCCGAACCCGACCTGCTGACCCGTTTTGATACCCATTCCTGCATCTTCAATAACTTCCCTCCATAAGTGGCTCAAAAAGACCTTGTCCTGATCGGACACAATAGAATCAGGTATGCCATGCAAACGGATCACCTCTTTAATGAATGCGGCTGCCACCGACATCGCGGTGTATGGGTGGCATAAGGGAATGAAATGAACATATTTGCTCAATCTGTCCACCACCACTAGAATTACAGTAAACCCTTCTGATCTAGGTAGTCCTTTGATGAATTCTATAGTCACCTCTTCCCACACCTTCTTGGGTAATGCTAAAGGATGTATTTTTTTTAATGCTAAAGGTTGTAGAAGACCACCTGGAGTCATAACTAGGTATTTGTATGATTGTATCTCTGGCACACATCACAACTGACCACCAACTATTCTACATCCTTTCGTATGCCCACCCAATAAAACTCAACTACTAGTCTATGATATGTTTTTTGAACTCATGTATGTCCCCCAACAGCTATGTCATAACATTGCTACAACAAGTGAGGAATGTGTGGTGATGTCCTCGACAACACAAACCGTCCATGATATAGCAGCTTCTAACCCATCAAGGAGTAACCAGGATGGCTATCCTTATCTTGCAATAAGTCTCCTCTGATCTTACTAAGTTCCTCATTTTGCTTTCTCTCATGCTTCAAGGCCTTCCAATCTAGCACCATGGAAACATATAAAGTCATAACCTGAGGGTCTTCACTGTGCCTGGAGAGAGCATCTGCAGCTTTATTTTTAAGCCCGGGCATGTACTGGATCTCAAAGTCAGAACCCAACAACTTGAAATGCCACTGTTGATGCTCATTTGTCACCATCCTCTATTCTAACAGAAACTTCAAACTCCTCTGGTCTGTCCTGACTATGAAATGTCGCCCCAACAGGTAAAGTCTCCACTTATGTATTGCCAACACTATCACCATTAGCTCCCTTTCATACACTGATTTCTGCCTGGCCCTCCCAAATAATACCTGGCTGAAATAAGCTATGGGTCTGACACTGCATGAGAATTTCTCCCAACCCATAACCTAATACATCTGCCTCCACTACAAACGGTTGGCTACTCCAACATAGCCTCTATATTGAAAAGATCTGCAGCTACTCCTAATTTAGACACCATATGTCTCAAATACTCCAACCTTTATAGTGCAAAAGAACATTTCTTCAAAATGGCAATGTTACTAACACAACCCTCAAGTGCTCCACATGCTCTGCATCATACCAAATATACACCAAAATGTCATCGAAGAAAACCAATACAAACTTGTGGAGATAGGGTTGAAATACCTTGTTCATAAGTGCCTGGAAGGTAGCTGGGGAATTGGTAAGCCTAAAAGGCATCGCTAAAAACTCGTAGTAACCTTTATGAGTCCTGAAATCAGTCTTGTGGATGTCAGCGGGCCACATTCTGATATGATGGTATTATGATTTCATATAAATCTTGGAAAATATCAACGCTTCATATAACTCATCAAGAAACTCATTAATGACTAGTATATGAAACTTATCCAAAATTGTTTCCTTATTCAGAGCCTGATAATCTACACAAAATCTCCAACTACCATCCTTCTTCATCTCCAGCAACACAGGACTGGAGAAGGGACTAAAACTGAGATAAATGATCTGGGCCTACAACATCTCCTTGATTAGTCTCTCAATTTCATCATTCTAAAAATGTGGGTATTGGTAGGGTCAAACACTGATAGGGGATACCCCCTCCTTCAAGATGATGGCATACTCATATTCCCTTGATGGAGATAGGCCATGAGGTAGCTGGAACACCTCACTGAATTGTTGTAGGAGTGGCTGGATTATCTTTGGAACTCCCCCCCCCCCCCCCCCCCCTGATGGAGATAGGCCATGAGGTAGCTGGAACACCTCACTGAATTGTTGTAGGAGTGGCTGGCCCCCCCCCAACTCTCTCTCTCTCCATGCTTCCCCCTCCCTAGAGGCTTTGGAGCTCCTCCAAGAATCCCATCATTGCTCCCTGGATTGCCCTCACCATGGTCTTAAGAGAAACTCTGGTTTTGGAAAGACTAGGATCCCCCTTGATCCTTACCTTCCTTTCTCCCATCATGAATTTCATAGTCAATGCTTTCCAGTCCACCTTGTTTTCCCCCAATGCCTGCAACCACTTCATGCTCATAATTACATATGTGTTCCTTAACTCTAAGGGAAGAAAATCCTCATTCACCTGAATCTCATGCAGTGTCACCATTAACCCTGGGCAAATGCCTCTACTCTTCTCCATCTTCCTCATTCCCATCATCACCCCAAAACAACCTGTGTCGACTAGCCTCAGCCCTAATCAATCCACAAACTAGTTGAAGATGAAGTTGTGGATCGGCCCACTGTCCACTAGAACTATCACAGATTCTCCTCATATATGTCCCCTCACAATCTTAGTGTGATTTGAGATAAATCCCAACACTGAGTTTAGATAGACCTCCGCCAAATCTAGGTGCAAATGCTCCTCTAGAGTCTCCTCCTCCTCATCACAGACTATAAGTACCTGCAGCGAACGGTCCTTACAGCGGCAGCTTGATGCAAACTTCCCATCACAATAGAAACATTCTTCTCTTGAACCTCTGCCTCAATCAGTCAATTGAAATGTTCCCCTGGTCATGCTCCTAATCTCATATCCTTAGGTACTTCTCCCTGAATGAGCACAAAAATAGTTGTTGACCGATATGAAGCTCCCAAACTACTGCCCTTGCTGCTTCTCTCAAGTGAGTTTTTGTCTTCCACCAACTAGGCTCGCTCCATAGCCTCCCTCAACCCTCCTAGCCTTAATAACCGAACAACGACTCTGATATCTGGCATGAGTCACTTCATGAAATTCCTCTCCAAAACTGTCTCAAATAGCCTCCCCAATCGACTAGAAAGGTATTCAAACCTCTCCTGATAATTCATCATTGTCCCTTCCTAAATCAGAGCAAAGAACTGCTCGTAGAAGTCTCCTTCCAGCTAGTTCCGAAACGTTCTAATAAACTATCTTTTGAACTCCCTCCACGATCAGATTGGATCTCTCATGTCTCTCCACTAATACCAAGACAAGGCCTTCCCCTCCAAGCATAAAGCCTCCGCTGTGAGTCTCTCCTCCTTCGTCCACCCATTCATTGTAAAATAAATCTCCACCCTATAAATCCACCCATGAGCATCTTCCCCCTAAAAATGGGCATCTTCAGCTTTCTCACTATTGGATCCCCTCTGCCCCAATGCCCTCTTCCACCTTCAGCTCCTCCCATATAGCAATTGTTGTGTTCTCTCCATTGATCTCTCCATTGATCTCTCGCACCCCTCTTCCTTTCATAGATATCTTCTTCCTCAAAATCAACCCTCCTTGTTTTTTTTCTCCCAATTTCTCCGCATGTTATAGTTCTTAGTATTGTTCTTGACGTCTTCCTGGCTTTGAATTCTTTCCAATATCTCCTTTGGAGAATGTTCTGATGAAAGGAACATGTAATGCCACGAGATAGTCATGGAGGAAGGAACATGTAATGCCACGAGATCATAGAGAGGAATAGAAAGGAGCAGAACCAACTATTTCGGGGTCAACAATAAACATTAGCACAATTGAAGAAAAAAAATATTTAAAGGACGTTGGTTTTCATTGTGATGAGAAATATCATTCTGATCACATTTGTAAATCCAAATTGTTCAGTTCAATTGTAATAAATGAGGAGCAGAAGACTTTAGCTGAGTTCTCAATCTCTCCCGATGTTGAAATGGTACCACCCCAAGTTGATTATCTTGAATGACCTATTGTTGTCTTGTGATGAATTCTATCTTGTGGACATTTGTTATTTGTTGGAAGAGTAATGTTGTAAACCCACAACATTCTAGCACATTAAATGACATAATCATGTGAGTCTGAAAAGCTCCTAGATGGACGAAAGACTTCTACTCCAAATCATAACAATTGCAGAGATAAAACTGAATCAAGTTCTTCTATTGGTTAATAGTGAACTGATGTACAATTACTTTGTTGGGTTAGTTTGGGAATATTTGATTCTGGTGAATGTGGCTTGTAATAAGGAGGGTGGGTTATGTGATGACTAATACTATAAAAAAGGTGGGATTTCGCTTTCGCTGTGTAGGGTGAGTTAGAAAATATCCAATTATTCTCCTATCCGCTTCTTCTTTCTGTTTTTACTTTGTTTTTCTGTTTTCTAGAGTTTGGGCAAACTAGAATTCCTCGAAAGGGACAAGAGTCCTATCAAAGCAATTCAACAAAATGCTTTATCACAAGCTGTTCGTATCTGAATCTAAAACCTTAGAAGGCCTCATTTGGTTGCTTATAGATAGAAAACATGTTCTTAGAAGTGTGATTTCACTTTCTCTGATTTTTGCCTAAAATCAAACCCATAAAATTTGAGGAATATTGAAGGGTCGCGGAGTTTAAAATCAATGTTAATTTCTAATGCAACCAATTAAATGATCAAATTAGCAATCAGATTGTTTTCTAGCATCACCAAATGGGACCTAATGAGAAACCCGAAATTTCGTATTTCTAGACCTGACGAAACACAGGCAAAAGCTAGGTCTTGCCATACTATTTGTCCAAGCTCGGGTGCCAACTAACCGTACAGAGAGAAATGGCGGTGGATCAAATCCCTGATCCTGAGGCTTTCCGTCTCGGACCCGGCGGCGAAGGTCTCTCCCATCTCTTCTACGGTCGCGCACGAGGCTCCACCGCCCGATCTTTCAACCGCTTCCATCACATTCTCGTCTCGCTTGGCCAATTCCACTTTAGCGTGATCCACCTCCACCATCCTCGGTAGCTCCCCTGGTTTGCTGAGGGGCGGATTGGCCGACCCCTCCATATCCACAAGGGTTCCGTCGGCGGCAATAGAGTGGACGAGGATTTCAGCGGACGGGTCGACGGAGGAACAAGAGACGAAGAGAAGAAGGACTGCGGTGGAAGCAGCACCAAGGAAGAGGAGTGAGCGGGCAACCGGTAAGAGATGTTTCCTCCGTTGATACAAACCGGAAGCCCTCATCACTGCCGACGAGCTATAGAGAGAGAGAGAGAGAGAGAGAGAGATCGTGATCAAATAGAAAAAGCGGGGAAAAAAACCAAACGCTATAGGAGGGGAAATTATTCTTTGTTAACTCTGGGTGTAGCTCTAAGTTCTCGTTTGTTTCTCCCTAATTTCTCCATCAGCGGTTTGAATAGGAGAAAAAAAAAAAGATTATTTTGCTCTTTGGTAACAATGCTTCTTCAAAATAACATTCAATGAAACTCCGTATTTACGCCGATTTGAGAAGAAAAATTTTTCTCTATTAGTCGTTCTTAAAGCTCCATTAAAAATGAGAAAATAGAGTCGGGGAATCAAACGAGGCCTAAGTTAGCACTCAAATACAATGGTTACACGTAGTGATCTAACAATCTGACTCGGTGAAAAAATTAAAATCGTGGTGTTTCCACGAAAATTTTAAAGTAGAGGTGTTTCACTTTAATCCAGTTCGTTGTTTCAAGTGTTCTTCATTTTCGACCGAAGGATCAACCTTTTTTGTGTGGTGCTCTGTAGGAAATTTTCTTTGCGGAAGCTGTGGCTAAGGTCAAATTTATGTCCCGAGAAAAAAAGTTATAATTTATCACTATATATGTTGATTCTATTTATTCTGTAAATTGTTTATCTAATATAGTTGTTATGGTTTATATTTAGGGTTTAGAACATTCGCGTGTTGCTATAAAATATGATTTCTCAGTTTTCTCACAGATGCGTATTATAGAATCTATGTGGAAAATAGGTTTTGTATACTCTATACTCCTGTGTATAGTTATTGTATAATGCTGTGTACTCCTGTGATTTAGTCCATTCGCATGACCAAATTCATAGAAAACTTTTCGGTGAAATTTTGTTCATTTTCTATACTGTTCATTGTTGTGTACCGTTGTTGTGTGCTGCTGTGATTTATTTTCCATTCGCATGATCAAGTTCATAGAAAATTTTCAGTGATGTTTTTATTCATTTTCTACTATTTACCGCTTTGTAACATTAATATGTACTGTTGTGATTTGTTTTTCATTCACATGATAAAGTTCATAAAAATTTTTCATTGATGATTTTGTACATTTTCTATACTGATTACTTATTGTTGTGTACTGCTGTGATTTATTTTTCATTTGTATGATCAAGTTCATAGAAAATTTTCAGTCATGATTTTATTCATTTTCTATATTGTTACTGTTGTGTACCGTTGTTGTGTACCACTATGATTTATTTCACTTATATGATATAAGTATATAGAAAAATTTTAGAGAAGTTTTTGTTCATTTTCTATATTGTATTATGCTATGTACTGTTGTGTACTGCTATGTATCATTACTATGTATTGCTGGGCATTGAATTGTTCTTAACCACTACACACAATTTTGCAGGGGTATGTTCCAAAGATCACCTTTCGTTGCAAAACTTCAACTTTTAAAGAAATCTAAAATTTTTTTGTTGAAACTTTTAGCTAGGATTTTATGAATAAATTAAAAAAGCTGCGCATAAATTAGTTTTTGTTAATGTCTCATTTCCATTAAAATGTTCCACTCTTATACATGTTGTTTTCATTATAGGATATCTGAAAGCAATGCTTCATCATCAAAGGGCATAAACTACCATTCACTGTAGATGTGTGGGTCTCCGAAAGGATGTTGCTATTGAGGGTCAAAATGCAAAAGATACAATCAGACTATCCTATAGTGGCTCTCACCTACATACATCGATGGGAAATAGTATATATGATCCGATAATCATGAGATTTTTCCCATTCAATACATCAACTTTAATGAAACTTATTTGATGTGGGTGTTGTTTTCGCAGGGGCACAAGCCCCCATGATTAATTACATCCTAAATCTCAATCATAGAAAACTCTTGATTAAGGATACTATATAATTCTCTTCTTAGTTCGATGCACAAAAGAGATTCTTATGTTATATTCCTAAGAGTATAAATTACTCTCTTTATCTTTAGTAATGATTATACCTTTTTAAATGTATAAAGATGTGATTAAATTTTTGAGTTTAAATGATCAAACATTAATTTAACGCTTAAGTAAAAATTATAGATCTAACTTTCATTTATGATCTAAAGAAGATGCACTAAGGGGTGAATAATCTGGGCTTATGCTTGTTTGGATTAAAATCATATACATCAAGTTATTTTACTATTTATTCATCCAAAATATTATTTATACTAGCTAGGAGTTCACTACAATCACTAATCTATCTTAACCTCCTAACTATAAAAGAATAAATAAAAATACAAAACCAAAATTTAAAGAAAATATGACGATTTCTAACAATCTCACTCCAACTGGTCCTGACCCATTCTCTGACTTAAAATTATTAAAAATCTATATAATGAACTCAAAAGCCCATTATTAATTTAAAACTCATTAAAACTTTCAATGCAAGAACTAAAGAATCAATATGATATGTTCATTATAATATAATCAATAGCAATCAATATAGTTAATGACCAAATATTATAAATAAATCTCAAAATGATCAATAATAAAATCAGGGAATTATTACAATGAATCTAAAAATCAATAATTGGTATAAAATTCAATAAATCGATAAAACAACAATGCAAAAATCATTAAAAAAATTATATAATATATTTTTATGCATCATCTATTTATGTATTATCAATATATCTAATATTATTAATAATATTAATGTATTTGTCAAAGCCATTAATGCTATCAATATATGCATGCATCAATGTATGATTTAAAAAGACATAACATCTTGATTCATAATTGGTCATCAGTCATATCACACTTATCCAATTAATCAATTATTAATTATTATTATATGTGGCTTCATTAAATCAATAAAGAGTTGTCACTTTGTCTGTTGGCATAATCGGTCATCTATTACATGCTACAACTAGGATAACAGTACAAACCATCTTTAAGGAAAAGTTTGTTAGTCCATCCTCCTGTAACTCAGTGTTAGAATATTATGTTTTAATACTCAACCTATTTTATAGGTTTAACAATCTGCCTTTCTTGCTTACGCTAACAATCTGCCTTTCTTGCTTATGCAAGTGTTATAATCAAAATGCAGTAGAAAATAATCAATTTTGTTCAATGTAGAAAATCTATATAATATTAAAAAATATGGAAAACTAAAATGAGATTTGAGTTACTTATAACAAATAGAAGAAATCTTTGAATAAAATTGATGGATGAAAAAGCCCCGAATAACCTTTTCTCTCTTCCATCTCTTTTCTTCGATAAGACATGACGTTGAAATTCAGAATTTTTTTTTTAAATTATTATTATGATCTACACATCTTAGAGAAATTTCATCCCCAACATTTTCTTAAGGATTTGGGCACAAAATCAATACCAAAAAAATCTGTAAAATCAAAATTGAAATCGTATAAAAAAATCACGAATCAAAACTCATCAAACTTAATCAAATAAATACAGAAATGATAAATCTATAATACCCAACTTTTACCCCACTTATAAATCAATTTTTATATATCTAGTTACAATCTAATTCTTCCAACAACCGCTCCAATACCAATTTGTAGCGCCCCATAATCAAATTTGAAAGAATTGTCAATTTATCATTTTAAACCATAGCTTCTATAAATTATCAATATAAATAATAATGAGTAAAACCAACTAAAATGATATACATTAAGATATTTTACTATTTTTTCATCCAAAATATTATTTATACTAGCTAAGAAATCACTACAATCATTATTCTATCACAAGCTCCTAGTTACAAAAGAATAAATCAAAATACAAAACCAAAATATAAATAAAATTTGAGGATCTTTAATAATTTCACTCTAATTAGAACTAATATGAAATCATTAAAAATCCATATAATGAGCTCAAAAGCCCAATACTAATTCAAAACTTACAAAAACTTTCAATGTAAGGACTAAAAAATAATATGATATCCTCAGTAGTCTAATATAATAAATAACAATCAATGTATTTAATGACCAAACATTATTGATAAAACTCAAAATGATCAATAATAAAAGCAGAGAATCATTACAATGAATCAAAAAATTTAATAATTTGTATAAAATTCAATAAATCGATAAAACAACAGTGTAAAAATCAATAATAAATTACTAAAGCAATCTATCTTCTATATTAATTTGCATCATATATTTATGTATTATCAATACATCCAATACAGTTAATGATATTAATGTATATGTAAATATTATTAGTGCTATTAATATATGTATACATCAATGTATGATTTAAAAATGCAGAACATCTATCTTTGATATGATATTTTCAACATTTTATTATCCCAACTAATTCAGTTAGTCATCAGTCATATCAATTATCACTTATCCAATCAATTAATTATCATATTTAATTAACCAATTATTATAACATGTAGTTTCATTAAATCAATAAGAGTCGTTACTCTGGCCGTCGACATAATCAGTCATCTATTACATACTACAATTGTGATAACCACAAATCATGTTTAAAGGAAAAGTTGTCGGACCACCCTCATATGGTATTATGTTTTAATAGTCAATCCATTTTATAGTGTTAACTAGTCTTTATTGCTTATACAAGTGTCACAATAAAAATGTATTAGGAAATAATCAATTTTGTTTAATATAAAAAATTTATGTAATAATCAAAATCATTGAAAATTAAAATAAGATTTGAGTTACTTACTACAAATAAAAGAAATCTCTGAACAAAATTGACGGAAGAAAAAGCCCCGAACAATCTTCTCTTTCTTCCATCTCTCTTCTTTGACAAGGCATAACGATAAAATTCAAAATATTCATTAAAAAAATGGATTTTTACACCCCACCCCCACAACCTCCTTAGCCACCCAATTCATTCTCCTACAAAGGTTGCTTCTCAACATGCAGAAATAATTAATGCAAACCTTCGGAGCTTTTACGAAGCCATTATGTACATGACTGCATTGTACAAATTTCCATGCATATAATAGTTTGGTTAAGGTTGAATTAATCGCTGGGCTACTTGAGAGGATAATAATTGTAATAGTACATCACATATTCAAATAAAAGCATCTGT